ATATATATATAAAACCAAAGGTGAATTAATGTTGCTAATTAGTTAACCTCAAAATGGGGACATTATCTAGGATTATCTGAGTACACCCAATGTAATCACACTACCATCACCATCAGTTGCCATAGAGTCAGTTCTGACTCATGATAACCTCACTTGTATCCAAGTAGAATTGTGCTCCATAAGATTTTTAATGGCTTATTTTTTTCAAAGTAGATTGCCAGGCCTTTCTTTCAACATGCCTTTGGGTGGACCTGAACCACCAACCTCTGTCAGTAGCTGAATGCCTAACCATTTGTACCACCCAAGGGCTGACCCATAAGAACCCTTAAAATTGAAAGATGGTGGCAGAGAAGTCAGATGGAGATGTGACTTAAGAAGAATGGACAAAGAGATACCACGCTGCTGGTTTTGAAGGTGTAGAGAGTGGGATTTGAACCAAGAAATGCAGCAACCTGTTGAAGGTGAGAAAGTCAAGGAAGCTGACTCTCCCCTAGAGCCTCAAAGAGGAAATACAGCCCTGCTGATGCCTTAATTTTTAGCCCAGTAAGACCTTCGCTGCACATCTAACCTACAGGACTGTTCGATAATAAATATACATTGTCTTAAGCCACCAAGTTTGTAGTATTTGTTATGGCAGTAGTAGAAAAACATTATAAAGGCTTTTCTTAAAGTCATCAGCTCTCTATCACATAGCTGAAAGGTGATCTCACAAAGTAGTAAGTGAAATTTCCACTCCATTTTCCTTGCTTAAATCAAACAAATTTCTATCCCATTTCTCACATTTTATATATTTTGTCCCAAAGATTAAAATGTCCTTTCAGCTACTCTTCTTTCTCAAAATGTCTCCCAGAATCATATTCTGGATGAAACTCCCCTGGACACACTCCACCATGCTCTCACCGCCCTGTGACTCTGGTAACCTCCTAACCCCTGCAAAAACCTGGGAATGGTCACGTGTATTGTTTACTTGTTTTATTTACCTATCTAGCAGGCATTCACTAAGTTTATATCACCTCCTACAAAGAACTAGAAGTTCCTAAGAGCAGGGACTCCCATCACCAACAACCACTTCTTATGTATACACTAGCAAGGCTCTGTACTCAGTGAGCACTCAATAGCAAGGGCCTTAGGAAGTGAATGGTTTTATATGTGTGGAAAGGAGTGTATTTCAGAGGTCTAATCTGAAAAAAGGTGCTCTGGTAGCGTAGTGCCTAAAGCACTTGACTGCTAACCAGAAGGCTTGTGGTTCAAACCTACCAGCCACTCCTCGAAAGGAAGATGGGGCAATCTACTTCCATAGTGATACTGCCTCAGAAACCCAAGGAAGGGTCACTATGAGTTGGGTCCAACTCAACGGCACACAACAACAACAATCTGAAAAAAAAACATATGGGGCTAGGATTAAGGCAAGAGTAATATTTTATCTAAGTCTATATAGACGCTAATAATGTCCTCTCATCCAGGTAAGAGCATCCTTATAGAGGTCTCCAAGGGCTGAGATTAACACTCTTGACCAAATAGAGCATTCAACCTATTCCAAACTCATTAAAAATTCATTACTTCCTTAGAGTTTCCATCCTACTTTCTAGTTTATGAGTAGTGCCTAGGACCTTAAAAGCTTACCAGCAACCACCCAAGATACATACAGTAATTGCTATCTATTCACCTGGAACAACAGAGGAAGGAGAAGACCCAGGAACTGGACAAGGAAATGGACTACACGTCTACTTGCCTCCATAAACTATTGTCCCCTTCACTATGAGACCAGAAGAAATGGACAGTGCCCAGCTACTATTACTGGATGCTTTGATTGAGGATTCAACAGATGAATCCTAATCAAAAGGAGAAAAACTGTGGAAAAGAGTTTCCAATTTTCTCAGAAACCAGCCTAATTGGATCCATTGAGACTGGCTGAATCTCAGGATCTATTGTCTGGAAACAATTCTTAAATCTTGAGCCAAAACTATCCCATAAACAGTAGTTTAGCTCCATTGATAAAGAACGTTTTCCATGAGCATCGTACTCTTCTCAAAAATTAATGATATTGAGATCAAACTGACAACATTATCTGTAAAGCACAGATGAGAACTCTAAGGGGCAAAGAATCTTAGTTAATAATGGTAAAACAATATGGGTAGAGAAGGTGAGAATGGTGACACAATGTGAAGTATGTAACATTTGTTACTGAACTGCACATGTACAAACTGTTAAATAGGTGTATGTTTTATTGTGTATATTTTCACCAAAAAATGAAATAAGTAAAAATAAAGAAATAGTTACTAAGAAAGCCATCTGATACCTTGAGGTATTTTACAAGTTCACTCCCTAAGGCCTGGGCTCCAGATTCGGTTTTCTGACAGTACTGGAAAAAATTATGTAAGTGCTGATCCTAAAAAAGAAAAAGAAGAGAGAAAACTCATTAACACAGATGCTATGGAAATAAAAAGTATTTGCTTCTTACAGCATGCATATTTTTGTTAGACTATGAAATCGATCCCACAGAAATGACAACACCAAAAGACTAGAAAATCCTCCAATGAAAGAGGAAAACTAGAGAAATGTTACTTATATTAGGTATTTCTTTGTATCAGTACAAATGAACATCTCATACGTAATTTCTTTCTGCAAAAAGAAGACTTAAAGGATAAAAATATTTCCATAGTGTACACTGATTAGGATTTTATCTTGCAAAATAATGTGAAAACTTAGCCACAGAGAAATCACTATTAATTTTAACAGATTAGCATTGTACCTGAGTGTACACTGTAGAAACCAGATGAGTTGCAACTTTCAGCAGTGGCTTGCCTCCATCTACCCATTTAATTTCTGGACCATAATGCTAAAAAAAAAAAAAAAGGTGGAAATAAACATCACAGATTAGCTATCTTGGCTTCAGATATGAAGACCAATATTGAGTGTACTGATGAGGTAAGAAGCCCAAAAGGAGAAATGCAGCCAGTATTCACTTTTGTCCACTTTCTTCCCCTCCAAGTACAGTGCTCTTTCTACTGTATTTTCTGAGTTATCTTTTCTACGTAGTTGCAACTGTATGAGTTATGAGTTACTGTCCATCTCAAAGGAGAGGAGTCCTCTTCCATCAGTAACGTAACCAAATTTGATGCCAAGATTCTGAAAGAGATGCCAGAAGGTACCAGATAAAGGAAGTAGAACAGTAAGTACATCTCATACAGGCAAAAGTTTACTCAGCTGTCATGATTTTGACTTCAGAAACTTCTGTGTTCTCCCATTCAGACTAAGAATTATTTGTTGTTGTTATGTGCCATTGAGTTGGACCCGACTCATAGCAACCCCTCCTTAGGTTTCCAAGGCAGTATCACTACAGAAGTAGATTGCCCCATCTTCCTTCTGAGGAGTGGCTGGTGGGTTTGAACCGCCAGCCTTCTGGTTAGCAGTCAAGTGCTTTAGGCACTACACTACCAGAGTTCCTAAGAATTATTTAGAATATCTTAACTATTAGTCCATGATATCGGTCCAAATCTGGTATTATTTAAATGCAGAGAAGCATTAAAAGGTTGTTCAAAACAAAGTGAAGCTCCTGCTTGGTCACAGCCAGCTACCAAGAGGGATTGAGTAGTTGAACCTGTGGGCTCGGGACCATAGTCGCAGGGGACATCAAGCTCAATTGGCATAACATACTACACAAAACATTGTTCCACCTCCTACTTTGGTGAGTGGCGACTGGGATCTTAAAAGCTAGCAAGCCGCCATCTAGATGCAACGATGGATCTCTCCTCATCCAGAGCAAAGAAGAATGAAGAAAACCAAAAATTCATGGAAACAATTAGTCCTAGCAACTGGTACACCATCCAATCTGCAGCCTATACAACTATGAGACCAGAAGAACTAGATGGTGTCTGGCTACCACCATCATCCCCTTGGAAGGGGATCTATGTAGGAGACCGTGGATAGAGAAGGAGAACAACGTGGAACAAAACTCAAAATCATTTGGAGAAAAAAAAGGGGGGAAACAGGTTTGCTGGTCTGATAGAGCCTGGTGGAACCACTGAGACTATGGTCCCTGGCTGCCCTTCAGGTCTGGAATTGAACCCATGCCTGTGGCTTCCAGCCAAACAAAAGACAGGCATATGAGTTGAACATGTACCTGAGGTAGATACACTCCTTGGAGAGAACAATCATGGGAGAAAGAAGGGCTGCTTATGCACATGGAGATAGCTCAGGGGGCAGGAGTGCATGGAGGGATGGAAACAGGGAAGAGGTAACTAACGGGAGGAAGTATGAGGGAAGACGTTGCATTGTGGTAAATTGTGGTCAATGTCATGAGACAAAGTGTATGTGAACTGCTGTATGGAAAGTGAATTTGCTCTGTAAATTTTCCCCCAAATCAAAAAAAAAAAAAAAAAAAAGTGAAGCTCATCTTATCTAATGCTATAAAAGTGAAGTCTGTGAAGTTCAAGACAGCTAAAAGAATAAAAACCCCCACAAATCTATTGGAGTAATCTGAGTGAAATCAGGCTCTAATGAATCAGAGTAGTATCATAACTGGTTACCATCTGGATGAAAGATTTGCCTACTACACTTAAAATAAGCTACACAAAAGTTCCTAAGAGCTTGCATGACCCTAAGAACACATCTTTAATTTGAGCATGGCATGGCTATTTGCAAAGAGAGATTTCTACCTCAAACAGTATCCACAAGTCTTTGTTTCCCTGCTGAGACACTGGTAACTGAAGGCTTATAAAGCATCCAAATAATAATTCTGATATTGTGATAACTGCTAACAATAGCATTGCCTTTTCAATGGTCTAAGTTAATTTGAAAAGGAATTGCTTAAAGCAAAATGTTGGGACTAGCAAAAATGCTATGTGCTTTTGTATGCATGTGCATGTATGTGTGTTGGTAGGAATTGTTGTTTTCATTGTTCTTTAATATTTTCTGAATGCATTGGGATAAAACAATCTTAAAATCTGTCTACCCTTCCCATTCCAAGCTCCTGGTAGCCAAGGTAGCCAGACGGAAGAGTCACTGATACAGGGCTGTGCTGCTCATTAGTCACCACTCTTCCATCTTTCAGGAGAGGAAGCCAGGAATATCCAACTGTTGAGAACAAAGAACAAAAAAATCCACTGTTAAGTATACAAAAACTTAGGAAAAAAGCCAAGGTCACTAAGTCGGCTGATCTTTAAGGATTGTTCACATCAATCAGATTAAGACATTTTTAAAAGTCTGTGTAGAACACTGCCTACAGTGTTGTTTGCCCTCTTTGGGATTAGAATTCTAAAATGATCTTTTATGAAAATTTATATATGCAACATGGCCCCTTCACCCCTTAGCAAAAGGATGCAAAAACAGAATCAAAGTAAGAACTTAATGTGAACGTTATGATAAAAATCTAAGGAAGGTAAAGTACTAAACCTTGTGTTTCAATGACGTCCTTCTTTTTTGTGCTTCCTTTACTTGAATTATCACAGCTGACATGGAAGAATGTGAACAACAAATGGTGCTTTTCGTGTAGCTGGGTGGGTAATTCTATTTTAATCTGCAAGGAAGACAAAATAACAATCTTTCTAATACTCTGAAACAATTAACAAAAATTCTCTTGGTGAGAGCAGTGACACAATGTGTTACCCAGTGCACAAACAGGCACTTGTTTTGAGAAGGATATTGACATTTGCATTGTAAGCCATCTGAGACTGTAAACCGTGCCAAAGAAGACATGGATCCTTGATTCACAGATGAGAAACCGGAGAAGGGTTGATGGGTATTTTGACTCTATAAAGTATTAGAATGAAGACAGCAGAAACCACTACACTAAATTAACCCAGTAAGGTATTATCAAAAACCAGAACAGAATGTTAACACGTAAGATTCATACAGTATTTTTACTTAACTGCATTGTAATTCTATATAAGAGAAACGAATGGTAAAAAAGGAAGTCTTAGGACCAACAAACTTTATAGTTAAGTAAGAATTTGAAAGTAAATAAGCTAGAATATTAAATGTAGTAGTGATGATGATTATGCTGGGGATTATACTTTTTCTTTTCTATATTATCTATGTATTCCAAATTCTTTTTATAATGAAAATGTTATTTTGTAATCAGAGAAACTCATAAAACAAGAAAAACAGTATTTAGTTCTGTTTTTCAGTATAGTGCACTGAAGTTTCTCTTATACCGTGTTTTACTCAGCAAATACCTTGGAGTCATCCTGAGAACTGGTTAAAATGGGTTTTCCCTTGAAAGCATTACTTACCTCATCATAAAATTCTGGATTTTGGTGATGGTGTAAAACCACAGCAAAGGCGCTTCTCATGAACACTGGCCCACCAGGTCGGCCATAAATGCACTAAAGTAAGAGTCAGTAAAGGGAAGCACTAGTCATCAATGAAGAAATCAAACTCCCAAGTGTTATAAAGAAAGAGGCACTGCTACAGAATAAACTCAACATAACCATCTCAGATGGATTTTTTTCTGCCTGCAGAGGCTCCAGACCTGCAGCCACCTTTACAAGTCACCTTTCCAGCTCATCTCCAAGCCCTCTTACCCTCCCCATTCCTCAGTTCTTGCCCCGGACTACTCACTGCTGACTGTTCACTTTCACACCTCCCTGCCTTTGCTTCTGCAATTCCCGTCTGAGGGAACATTCCCTGTGTGTGTACCAAGCAAAACTCTCAGCCTTCGAGATCCAACTCATCTTTCCTTGGTGCCACCAGGTCAGGAAAAAAAAGATTACTAACTCCCTTCTCTGTGTTTCCTCAGCAATTTTTATGTATCCCATCTGTAATAACTCATCAGGTATGTCCAAAAACATAACAAAAACATTTCAGTACCTTCTATGTTACGAAAAGATAAATATCTTTATAAAATTTATGTTTTTATATTATAAAAATTATATATGTTTAATTTTCAAATTATAAAAATTATAACATATAATTTTCTCCATGACTGTCTTTCCCAGTAAACTGTGAATCCCTGAGGGCAGAGGGCAGAAGTTGTATTTGAGTCTTCTTTCTATCTTCGTATACTTCTCTTCTTCAATAATCATTTTAACATGGTTACTGAAGAGAATATGGGCTCTGGAGCTGACTGCCTGTGTTTGAATCCTGGGTCTACTAAATGCTAATTTGTTAAAATTCTATGCATTCATTTCCTCACCCAGAGAATGAGGATAATGATAGCACCTAAGTCAAAAGACTATTTTGAGAATTTAGAGTTTAACACATATAAAGTGCTAAGAGAAAGTGTTTACAGTATAAGCATTCAAAAATTGTCACCTATATACTACTATCATTATTACTATAATGTAACAAATATTTTGGCAATGTCATCTATTGTTATTCTGAAGACCCTAAGTAGTGCAAATGGTTACTGCTAACCAAAAGGTTGGACATTCAAGTCCACCCAGAGGCATCTTGGAAGAAAAGCCTGGCAATTTACTTCTGAAAAATCAGCCAGTGAAAACTCTACAGAGTATAGTTCTACTCAGACATACCTGGGGTCTTCATGAGATGAAACTGACTTGAAGACAACTGGCTTACAGTTAATCTTCTATTATTATTATTATTATTATTATTATTATCAATATTACTAATATAATTCCTAGCACCCTACACAATGCCTGGCTCATAGCAAGTGCACAATAAATATTAACTGAATTGAGTATGAGTTAGAAAACTTTACCCCTAAAGAGTATAACAAAACAAATAGCTAATGAGGAACAAGAACTTAATTATCCCATATTCTGTAAAGTTCACCACGTGGCTATGTTGTATGTAATGTTATATAGTTTTGTGTGCCAATTAGAATGTGCTAAAAATTCCTTCAGTTGCACAGTATCATTATTAAATGGAAAAAATCAGAGCACGTATCATACAATTATAAAAAAACAAACCTTCAGAGGCTGAGCATCTTCTTCATCTGAATCTTTAAATTCAATGCAAACAGCAATATTTCTAGCCTGCAGCGATATTTGAAGATAGGAAGGGAATAAAATAAATGTCAGAGTTGTATGTATTTTAAAAACAGCACGGGAAGCTAAATCCTAAGAGAGATTTTGTAATCAAAAATAAAACCCAAATCTTTGCACTCACCTTGGCAAAAGACTTTTGGCTGTCATATTTCAAATACTTAGGATAAACATAAAGGTGGTTGTTATAGATAGTGTAAGGCTGAGTGTGTTTTGGTATGCAGGGCACAAATTCCTCTATCTCAAACGTGATTGGAGTTTTAGTACAGGTTTCAAATTGCTTCATGGGAATGTAAGATGAATTAACATAATCTGAAAAGATATTAAAACTAAACTGAAGTAAAACCAACCAAACACAATCATGTCTATTTATTACACAGAATTTACACTTACTAGGCAAGTCTGAGGAAACATTATCAATTGTAATATCTAGATTGCCTAAAATCACTGGGAGTTTAGCCATCTTCTCAGGTCTAGAAACAAAAGAAGGGAAAGTTAGATATGTATAAGTTAGTTTAGCTCTAAAATCTAAATTCAAGGGCAGCACTTTTAAGACCAATATAATGCAAGTTACAAAAGTAATTCCGAATTTTCTAGTAGTCACACTAAAAAAAGGAAATAGGTAAAATTAATGTGAAGAATACATTTTATTTTACCCCATCTATCCACATTATTACCACTTCAACATACAATAAGTGTATGAATATTAACTCAAAGTTTTTGAAATCAGATGGTAACTTAACACTCCCAGCACATCTCAGTATTTCAAGTGTTCCATAGTAACACGTAGGAGCTCTGGTAGCATAGTGGCTAAAGCACTTGTCTGCTAACCAGAAGGCTGGCGGTTCAAACCCACCAGCCACTCCTCAGAAAGAAGGTTGGGCAATCCTACTTCCGTAGTGATACTGCCTCGGAAATCCAAGGAGGGGTCGCTATGAGTCGGGGCCAACTCAGCGGCACATAACAACAACAACAACATAGTAACACATAGCTAGTGGCTACTATGTTGGACAGCATAGGTCAAGATAATGAACAAAAACAAAATGGTTACAGTTAAATAATGCATTCCTGAACCACTTCTTTCTGACCATAAATTCCTGACTTATTTAGAGTCATAAAAATGTAAAACTGGAAGTCATCTTAGGCCTCAGTGTCTAGCAAAATGTGGAAACAGAGCAGGTGCTCAATAAATGTTTTTATTAGTTGGTCTAACCGTACTCCAATACAGGAATCCCTTCTCTAACATTCCTGCCAAGCACTGATAATGTCTCAATCCTCCCTACTTTCAAGGACACTTTCACCAGAGCCATCCCATCTCCAGAATACTCTTCCACAGAGTATAGCGGTATTTATATCCCCAGTGGATCTAGTTATGTTAATGTTTCTCTATGTTTCAGCCATCTAAACACAATTATTACACCTTTCTGAAGTCTTTCTCACATCCTTTGCATCTTCCTCTAATGCCATTCCTCTACTAAAATAAAGTGTCATTTACATTATGGTAGAGTCAGAAGCCAGTGCCCATCAAAGCAGCACTCTAGAAACCAAACCATGTATTGCATTGGGGAAATGTGCTGCAAAAGATGTCTTTCAAGTGTTAAAAAGTGAAGATGTCACTTTGAAAGACCAAAGTATGCTTGACCCAAGCCATGGTACTTTCAATCACCCCATATGCATGCAAAAGCTAGACAATGAATAAGGAAAATGGAAGAATTGATGCCTCTGGGTTATGGTGTTGGTGAAGAATACTAAATATCCTATTCCAAGAACAAATAAATCTGTCTTGGAAGTACAGCCAGCATGCTCTTTAAAAGCAAGGATGGCGAGATCTCATCTCACATACTTTAGACATGTTATCAGGAGAAGGTCCCTGGAGAAGGGCCTCATGCTTGGTAAAGTAGAGGGTCATGAAGATGGATTGACAGTGGCTTCAACAACGATCAACCTAGCAGTGACTGTGAGGATGGTGCATGACCAGGCAGTCTTTCATCCTCCTGTACATAGGGTAGGAGCTCTGGTAGCGTAGTGTCTAAGGCATCTGACTGCTAACCAGAAGGCTGGTGGTTCAAACCCACCAGCCCCTCCTCAGAAGGAAGATTGGGCAATCTACTTCCATAGCGTTACTGCCTTAGAAACCCAAGGAGGGTCGTTATGAGTCGGATCCAACTCGACGGCAGTGCGTGCGTACACAGGGTAGCTATGAGTTGGAAATGACTCAACAGCACCTACCACCACCACCACCCAGAACTACACAGATTATGGCCAGAATGGTCTGACCAGCTTGAGATAGGGAAGGTGTTTCATTTTGAACAATATACTCCTCTACTAATACAGCCAGGAGCTCTGGTAGCATAGTGGCTAAGACACTTGCCTGCTAACCAGACGCCTGGCGGTTCAAACCCACCAGCCACTCCTCGGAAGGAAGGTTGGGCAATCCTACTTCCGTAGTGATACTGCCTCGGAAACCCAAGGAGGGGTCGCTATGAGTCGGGTTTGACTCGACGGCACATAACAACAACAACAACAACTAATACAGCCAAAATACTATTAGTTTTGAGTAGCCACACCATTCCAGTGACCTACATTACATTGATATTCACCTAAAACTCATGATTATTTTTTCATATGCTTTACTAGTATGCCATATCTTTCCATCTTGTATTTATAAAATTATGTTTTTGATCTTAAGATCACGATTATATTTTTTCCTTACAAAATTTTATCTTTTTTGATTCAAGATATTTCTAACCAGTCAAATCTTCCTAACTCCAGATTCTAACATCTAACATATTAGATATTCCTAATAGCTTTATAGGGAGTTCTGGTGGTGTAGTGCCTAAGGCATTTGACTGCTAACCAGAAGGCTGGGAGTTCAAACCCATCAGCCACTCCTTGGAAGGAAGACTGGGCAATCTACTTCCATAGTGATATCTCCTTGGAAACCCAAGGAGGGGTCACTATGAGTCAGATCCGACTCAATGCCAGTGAGTTTTAATAAGCTTTATGCCATGAAGACATTTAATCCACAAGCCATATGCTCCTAAATGTCACTGACGGAGACATTGCACAGGATATTGAAAAGAACAGTTTCCTTCGCAAACCAGTAGAGACCCATCTGTAGACAGACATTAGCCCGTTAATCTTCCTTGCGTCTGGTTACACTAACAGTTGTTCAACTGTCCTCTCACGTGGATAGCATTTCTCTGACTTGATCAGATGGTATCATGGTATATGCACTATCAAAGACTCTGCATTCCTCTCTTGCACCATATCAGGAAACCAATTTTAAAAAAAGAAGCACAAATGTGGAAAACTAGCTCAACGTGACAACTTACTACTAGAAAACAGAACACGGTTCGCATAGTTTCTCATAAGCCAGCTGTTTCACAATTTCTTTTTGGATGGTGCCAGGGACCATCAAAACTCAGTGGCCTTTTAGAGTCAGCATGTAATTTTGTTACCGTTTTTGAAACGCTGGTAGTCCGGTTTTTCAGATTCTTTAAATGACTGTATCTATTAAATAGTCTCAGATGTAACTTCTCAGTATATGTTGGAATACTGTCCATATAAAACAGGATTCCCCTAAAAATTCTAAGTTCTTGCTTCCCTTATGTCTAGAAACTATTGTCAATCTATCCACTTTGCATATCACAAGCTCTAAGTTACAAGAGTCATTTTTATCAAGGTTCCTCTCATTTCCACTTGTTTTTTGTTTGCAACTGTATTTAAATCAGCGATTACCATCATTAGAATTTCAGGGGGGAGATAAAACTTGTCATCTAATAGTAAATGATATTTTAAGACAATAATGGGAAAAGAAGTAAGAATAGCTTTGGATTTAATCTGCATGCCCATGCCACTAACATCAGATCATACTGTAAAAAGTAAGAGAAAAGAAGGACAACAAAGCTGAAAGAACAAAAACAAAGAAGAATGAGAAAAATGAATGTTCCACTTCCTTAATAATATCATGAAGAAAACAGGATGGGGTACTGACATTTCTTTGGATTCTTACAGAGAAGGCTGCTGGGCACCTCCCACCCCCACCCCTACCTGGGTGTATTCTGACACTGTCAGCATCTGATCCTTATTTTCAGGTTTCTGGGTCTTTGACCAGCCATCTGGAGCACACTGTTCCCACTAAATCCTTGTTAATGAGCAGAGAATGAAAGCATGCTGTACACTCACCTTTTCCCTGTGTTCTCAACAGTGAAGGTCTGTGCACACAGCTGGCTGGCTGTGGCTGTGTGCTCAGATCACTTTTTGATAATGATCCTCACCTTCCAGCCTCCACTGAGCTAAGTCTCTATGAAGAGATACCACTGGGGGAGAAGTCTCAAGCTAAGCAGCTTCGGAGGCAACATCTAACACAGGGCTTCCAAACTATCTCATTTTAAAACTTGTTTACGAAGACTACAATAAGCAAATGTTAGTTTTGAAAATTCACATAGAATCAAGGAAAACTACAAGAAACCACCCATATGCCCATCCCTCAGAAATAACCATGATTAACATCTTGGTGTACATCCTATATGACTATTTCTATTTCTGTATGCCTCACCATCTACCTAACTACTTACCCATCCTTTTATTCACTTATATACAAAGAGAAATATGTAACTGTTTTTCAAAAAGTCAGTCAAATTATCTTCCCCCACCCCAAAATCTTATTGTGATTTGGGTGAAAGTCCACAGAATAAATCCATCTTCCATACAGCAGTTCACATACACCTCATTTCATGACATTGACAGCAATCTCCCACAACACAACAGCTCTCCTTCCACCCCCTCCCCATGTCGTTGCCTCCCATGCATTCCTGTCCCCCAAGCTGTCTTCCTTTGCATACACAGCCCCCCAATCCCCCATGATTGATCTCTCCAAGAAGTGCATCCACCCAATGTAAATGCTCAGCTCATATGCCTGTCTTTTGTTTGGCTGGAAGCCACAGGAGTGGGCTCAACTCCAGACCTGAAGGGCAGCCAGGGGTCATAGTCCCAGGGATTCCACCAGGCTCTTATATTTTTTCTTCCCTAACCATAGTATGTGTTCACCTGCTTTAATGAGTACATATAGGCCTACGTTCTTTATTAATATTTGTATCATATTCTAGTGAAGGAAAATATTTTATTTAATCAAAAGTTACAACTTTTTTTTTTAAAAAAAACTTTTTCTTCTATAAATATAGCTTAAAGTTTCCTAGAACTAAAAAGAATTAATTACCGTATACCAATACAGTTCCTATCATTGTTAGTGCCATTGAGTCGGTTCTGACTCTTAGTGACCCTATATGTCAGAATAAAACACTGACTGATCCTGGACCATCCTCAAAATTGTTGCTATGCTTGAGTCCATCATTGCAGCCACTGTGTCAGTCCACCTCACTGAGGACCTTCCCTTTTTCACCAACCCTCCACTTTACCAAGCATGATATTCTTCTCCAGGGACTGGTCCCTTCTGACAACAGGACCAAAGTAGGTAAGACGAAGTCTGGCCATTCTTGCTTCCAAGGAATGTTCTACCTATACATCTTCCAAGACAGATTTGTTCATTCTTCTAGCAGTCCACAGTACATTAAAGTTTCTTCAACACCACAATATTCAAATGCATCAATTCTTCTGCCATCTTTCTTATTCACGGCCCAGCTGTCACATGCATATGAGGGTATTGAAAATACCATGGCATAGGTCAGGCGCACTTTAGTTATCAAAGTGACATCTTTGCTCTTTAACACTTTAAAGAGATCTTTTGTAGCAGATCTTTCCAATGCAATGTATCATTTGATTTCTTGACTGCTGCTTTCATGGGTGTTAACTGTGGATCCACGGGAAATCAAATCCTTGACAATTTCAATCTTCTCTCCATTTATCATGATGTTGCTTACTAATCCAGTTGTGAAGATTTTTGTTTCCTTTAACGTTGAGATGTAATTCATACTGAAGGCTATAGTCTTTGATTTTCATGAGTAAGTGCTTCAAGTCTTCTTCTTTTTCAGCAAACAAGATTGTATCATCTGCAGATTGCAGGTTGTTGGTAATTCTTCCTCCAACCCTGCTGCTGCTTTCTTCATATAGTCCAGCTTCCTGGATCATTTGCTCAGCATACAAGTTGAATAAGTATGGTGAAAGGACACAACCCTGTATGTATGACTATGTATTATTCAGTATTACTAAAAGAAGGTGTTTTTTTTTTTAAAGATGTTAATATGGTTCTATTTATAATCCTGAAAAATTAGAAACATTGTCAATGTCCAAAAACAGGGGAAGAGTTAAATAATCTATGGTCTATCTGCTCAATGAACTATTAAAGGGGCATTAAATATGATATAAAAATATGTGTAACACCTTCACAAAGTACTTATGCAGGAAATATACATCTATAGTATGACCAGGACCACATTATACAAACTAAAACAACATAGAAAAGAAATGCCCCTGAATGTTCAGGATGGTCTTCCATTAAGAATAGAACTGTAGGTAAGCCCTTTTTTCTTTTATTTTTCTGTACTTCTCAAAACTTTTTATAATGAATGTGTATTACTTTGTAAGACAAAGAACGCCTATTATTTAAAAACTAAAGTAAAAATATTTAGTCTTCCAAGAATAGTCACAGATTTTCACAAGGTTCCAGGTGCACTCTCTGTTCAGGCCCTCTTCCTTACCAGGACTGATGATGGTCAGATGTGTGTCCAGCAATTAGGGATACCCTGTGTGATCCAAGAACACAGTGAGGCCAAGCCCCATGAAGATGGCATCCTCACCTACCCTGGCTCTAACTGCAGGCAGTCCCTGGGCTATGAACATGCGATGACTTATGTACAAATCAGAGTTATGAACCAACCCCCATAAAGCTTATTATATTAAAAATACATACAATGATTTGTAACAACAAATGGTGCTACTTGGGACAAGCATCAAAAATCATTATTATTACTATATTATTGGGTAAAGATGTTTTGGTGTATCTGGAAGTGTGTCTTTAATGTTTTTTATGTATAGAAAAGTTATAATATATGCTATATACTAAAACAAACATTTAACTAACTGATGTTAGATATTAAACATACCTAACTGCTTCAACTTACGGACAAATTTAACCTAAAGACAGACTTAGGCACAGAACTCATTTGTAATCCAGGGGCTGCCTGTACCTAAGTTAGATAGGGAAAGTTTTATTAACTTAGGTACAGTCAATCCAGTAGGTGTACACTTGCGCTGCTTTGCTAAAACCACCAACCTCACTGGTATTGGAAGGAAATTAGTTTAGTGAAGGGAAAATTAGAGTTGTACTTCCCATTAAGGCCCCAAATGGGAAGGAAAACATCAAGACAATCAAGAATTCTAAAATCACAGAACTTAAAGGAACCTTGAGAATCCTTCATCACTTTCATAAAGACTTGATCCATTAAAAGGTTTTTTTTTCCCCCTCTTTTCCCTTTTTAAATCTCTTGATAAGAGAATCCATGTCATCTTTAAAGCTGAAGAGGGTTGTTGACATGATCATGTTATGAAAAATTGTTAGAAATATCTACATTTTGGGAATTTATTGAGCCTGTTTCTATAACTCATGTCTCTTACTTCTAATCTCACCATTGAAGAGAGAGAAGTTAGGAAAAGGTAAGACTAAAATTAAAAAAAAGCTAAAAAACCATTCTTGAATTATAGGCAAAAAGGTAATAGTGTGTGTGTGTGTGTGTGTGTGTGTATAGTTTACAATATACTCAAAACGCATAGCAACCACTCCTTGGGTTTCCAAGGTGGTATCACTACGAAAGCAAATTGCCCAACCCTCCATCCGAGGAGTGACTGGTGGGTTTGAACAGCCAAATGCCTTAGGCACTATGCTAC